GTATGAAGCCGTGGATGGGAAGAATCCCATCACAGCCGTCACCACCATGCCAGCACCACACTGCAGCGTCGTGTTTGGCAGTGCCGATTCTATTCTCCGCTTCATCGATCCTCGCAAACCTGGACTGCAGGTAGCAATCTGCCATACAACATCCACCAAATGATCAGTGTGTGTTTTCAACACGGTAAGATGTCTCCGCTACAGAGTTATTCCAGACTTGACTGTGACAAATCTTCCCGTGTCCCCAGCATGAATTTCGTCTGGCGTACAACAATGTGAATGCCGGGCTCATCCGCTACCTGGCAGTGAGCCCTTCAGGGCGCACTGTGGCTGCAGGCTTCTCATCCGGCTTCATTGTTCTGCTCGATGCACGCACCGGACTCATTCTGAAGGGCTGGCCGGCTCATGAGGGAGATATCCTCCAAATGAAGGTATAGTTTTTCTTAAGCATACGTCTGTATACCTGAACAGGGCTGCCTCTGGGTTACGTCTTTGTCAGTAGTCAGTGAAGGGCCAATAAGACCTACCAGTGATGGTAAAACAGATTCCATGAAGGTTTGGCTGTTGACAGCAACAGTTATGCATGCAATGAACAAGTGAAGTTCTTCGTTGCCTTTTATTTAAATGGCAGACAGTAAAGAGGAGACAAGAAGTGGGAGAGAGAGGAAGGATGACACACAACAACCTGGCAAGACCTGAAGAGGGGATGTTGTAACTACATGGACAAACCTCTAAGCCGCAAGAGCATTTCTTATTACAGGATTCATTTGAAACGGTTATTTCAACTATTTCAGGACATTATGCAGATTATTTTCATGTTTTCAAATTATAACTACCTGCGGTAGTATATATTAGTTCGAATATATTTATTCAATGAGAGCTTTCAGAATAGTATTTAAAATGTGATGTGTATAGTGTTGGATTCCCAACAGACGTTAGAGAAAAGGGAGGAAGGAAAGGAATCAAATATGTAAAACTCCCAAGTTGGTGAAACTAAATACTTCAGCTCGGGAGGGAAACAGAAATATCTGTGATTTCGTGATTGTTAGGAGGAACAAGTTACTGTTTTTGAAATAGAAAATGATACTTCGATGAAATGACAGCCACACACTAACTTGAACCCTTGTTACACCACTTTGTGTTTCCAACCAACGGGCAGATGCGTAGGATTAACGGTCAAGTTGTTGACTCGAGGCGTGGGCTGGGGGGGACACAGTTGATTCAGTGTGTCACATAAATGGGCGGTCACTCTCTATGCTGTAGTCCAACTTTGTTTTCCGCCAGCTAAAGTTGTAGCCAAACACAAGTGAACAGCTTCTCTATACTGTGACTCCCTTACTTTGTAGAGTTGTCAGCATGGTGTGATTTCTGACATAAGAGAAGGGTTGTATGGGTTTAAGGGGGATCAGTGTACCATCAAATACAACCGGCTGGAAGGAAGGTCATTTCTTTCTGTTTTTATGCAGGTTGAGAGCTTGGTGTAAGAGGGGCATCACTGATAGTGACCAAACCACACATTACCTGCCCCTGATAAAAAAACAGAAACAAGCATTTTATTAAATGCAATGGGTTTGCAGTTGTCACTCAGAGGAATACTGCATAGGTGTAGTCAATTTAGTCTTAATGTAGTACCTTTATAGTAGTTAATAATAGTTGTAAAACGTGTCGTATCCTTTGACCACATCACACACTCCAGCCAGAAGGTGTGGCTATACTCTTGGATGATAAATATTCAAGAAGATGAAGAAGTGACTTTTATTGTGACATTCCCCAAAGGTAGTGATACTAAGTGGTGCACAGATGGTGAAAGTTGTACCCAGCAGGTCTGTTGTCAACAGTGCGCAAGGATGAGCAAACTTTATTTAACCCCAAGTTAGGTCAAGGATTGTGTCTCTAGTTTTAGGCAAATATGGACACAGGTTACTCATTAGAAAGACCACAGTGCTTCTCATTGGCACATTCTTATTACTCAGACTTCCCCCTCAATGTGTACGTGTTCTATGTTTGTGGGTACAGGAACACTGCTAGTCAGATGACTTCAGTCATTTTAATGGTAGTTGGTCAGTTACTGTAGATAATATGAGTAACAAATGGATATAAGTAGTTGGTACGAATATAAAGAAAATTGTACGGATTATTCTGGCCAAAATAATTGTGATTTAAGATATTATCCAGATATTTGTCAAAATATGCTTAAAACTCTTGAAATGGCACTAAAACACGGTTTACCTTGCATTTTCTTAAGAAACATATTTGTATTGCTTCACAGATCGAACACAACTTTATTTAATGAGAAGCAAACAATCATAAATAAGGTGATAACAAATCATAAGAGCTACAGTTTTTTTCAAGTTACTTGTGGGGATATTCGTGATTATCCCAATAATAACAAATCGCCACAATTAACTTATTGTGAGTATGATATCCTATCACTAATAAGTTGGCTGTTACCTGTTTCTGTTTCAACTGTCTCTACTTTAAAGGTATCCCATTTAGTTCAATTATTCTTTTCACATATTTTCTTTAATTTCTGTGTATTTACAAGGGAATTGTAATTGCAATGCCTGGTATATGATCTCAAATCTTGAAAAAGGATGTTGGGGAAAAACGTAGACTGTCGGTGTTTACTGGGATTTGACGTTAACATTTTCTTGTGTTTTACTTTTCAGGCTGCAGAAGGAAACCTGGTGATCAGCTCATCCACTGACTACACAATCGCCGTGTGGAAAGATATGGAGCACAAGCCTCTCCGCCAGTACAAGTCGCAGTCCGACCCCATCCACGCCTTCGACCTTTACGGTTCGGAGATCGTGACCGGAACCGTGGCGAACAAGATCGGGGTGTACTCCATGGCAGATATCTCCTTGAGTCCCGTTAGCAGCACGAAGCTGAGCTCGGAGAACTTCCGCGGCACTCTGACCAGCCTGGCGGTCCTGCCCACCAAGAGGCTGCTGCTGCTGGGCTCTGAGAACGGGGCCATCCGGTTACTAGCTTAGGGATAGCCAATGGCTCGCAGCTACGCTAAACACGCTTAACGTTGACCTTTTTGAAAGTGTGTGTGGTGTTCCTGAAGTCACCAGATGTCTGAGTTCTCTCTGTCCCCTGTCCTGTGCTTGAGGTCAGCTGTATTGGTAGAGCACTTTTCTCTAAATAGCTTTTTGAATGAAGCAGCACAAGTAAAGGCATTGTACGGATAAGCGTCATGTCGACCCAATCTCGCCTCTCTGGCTGTTGGCACTGAATTTGATGATCAAGACGTGTGTCACACAGTTAAAGTTCACCGTGTACAGTGAATCCCATGATTTTTTTTATTTTTTGTTTTTCTCTTTTAAAAGCCTATAGATGTATAGAAAGTATATAATGGGAACTTCATATTTTGACATGTATTCTTTTGACTAGGTCAGCTATTCTGTTCAAAAGGATGAATCAGAAGACGCGCTCAGGAAGGTGGGACCAAACACGGTTCTCATGTAGTGTTTACACTTTCCAAATAGATGCATTAAAAACACCAAAAAAAAAAAAACAGTGACCTCAACTCTCATTTTCCCTCACTGTTAGAATACATGAGTACCCAAATGCACTGATTCAACTATGCAGTATTTGTAGATCAAATGATTTGTTTGTGTTGGCGTGTTTCGTAAGAGTTGTTTCACAGTAGATTGTTTCTACGCCATTGAACAATAAAAGTACATTCGCTGTTTTTGTCGGCAGTCTTGGTGCATCTTCTCAGCGTCACTTACAAAAGTCACTTACTGATGCACAGCCTTTAACCTACTGCACAAGTACAGCCTAAATTGTTAACATGTAGATTCTCACTCAGATTTTAAAGATTGAATGTTTTTATCTACTAATTACTTGAAGTTGCTTTGGGATATTTTTTTAAACCATTGTTAGAGATTCTTGATTTAACGGTCAGAACCTGTAGCAGCATTACACTGGGAGTGTATCTAAGCAGGTGCCACACTTTGACTGGGTATGCCGGTTACTAGACTCGCCACCTTCTAATTGCTCATTACAAAAGCTAACATAAGAACAGTCGATGCCAATGTAAACCGTTTTGTATTTAATCATTTATATGTAACTGCATATGAATATTTTGAGAGAAAAGTTGTAATTCAATAAAAAACGTGGTTTAATTTGCTCCTTGGTGTGTAATGCACATGAATATGGAGTAGAGATGTATGCCCACAACACTCTTAATGAATCTATCAAAGTCTCGTAAAAAGGCTATTAGCGTCACATAATCAAAGCTCTCCCCTTTGTATGGTTTTATCACTTTCATGTTGTAAATCACAGTTTGCCTAAATGTAGCCCAAAGCTCAAAACGCTCTGATAAGTATACTACACTTTTTGGTATTTTGTGTTTTTTGTAAGTGAAAGCTCAACGATCATAAAACTTTGTAGCTGCATATTGATAATTGGTTACGATAGCTCCAGCATCTCTTTGAACATTTTGAGAAAAGTCCTTGAAAATGCTTATTTATTAACTGGATTAATAAAATAATTGCTTCCATGTTTTTGTGTTTGTGTTCCAGCTTTTTCATTATGACTCCCAGCCTTGCTCACCGGTCTTTGGCTGAGTAACCAGAGCTCAGATTGGACAAAGTCCCCTCTTGTATTTGCAGACAGCTGTCATGTGATCAAGGAGATATCACTTTTGCTTAGTGGTGAAATGTGACCAAATACACTGAAAAAGTTATTTCTTTTCTTAATTTCCGCCCCCCACCTGTCTTGAGTATTTTTTTGCCACAACATGTAGCGTCAGTTTATAGACTTAGCATAACAATCATGTCTGTTCTGTGAAGTTGGTAATATATCAAAGCCAGAGGTTTCTGGGAAATGTGGGCTTGTGTTCCCCTGACATCAGATGTGTAACTGTTTGCCCACACAGTGTTGGATTTACTAAACTTTTGCAAATAATCTGACCTGTTCTCTGTCCAAGATTAAGGTATCATGATTTTGTCACCTGCCCATTGATATGCAAAGTAGCCAAGCATCTCGGTCTTCAATATTTAACCCTGGATGAGTCTCGGTAGCTCCATTTACAAACAAATAGTGGCTTAAATGAGGGCCCCAATCAATGCAAGTTGATGTTTAACTGTTTGCTGAGCAAGTGCCAATCTTTGACTGTCAGGAATTCTGCCATCCGCAGTCACTTAGTCGCTCCTTTTTTGGACAAGGCAGCCCATTTTTTTCAAATTTAAGGTAAGATCAAACTTTTTTCAAAATACTTATTGGGATACTATTGTACATTTCATGACTTGTTGGAATACGCTAAATACTGCTCAGTTATGAATGGATTTTCATGTTTCTGTAAGGTCTGCAAAGGTGGATACGGCGCTTCACCATTCATTACTTTTGACTTTTTTATTTAATGTTTTACATTTAGGCATGTTAAGGTGATATAAATACTGAATGTCTGGAGACACCACAATGCATTGATACTCGAGATTGCTTCTGCCACGACAAGTAGATTTTCTGTCCCTCAGAGTATTCAGCCTATCACAGTTTTTTACGAAACAATATATCTGCAGTATTAGGATGTGGTTGGAGACAGCACATTTTGCACTTTCCAGGTGGAAATCTTAGCGCAGGGTCGACAAAAATCTTTTGTGTGGCTTTCATGCTTAAGGTATAGTTCCATATGATCTGGGAATCCTTTAAAGGTGAGGGCGACTAAGTAGAAGTGTTAGAAACCTGCAGGCAGTACAGCTAAGATACTATACACAAAAGGCGAGAGTGTTACGTCATTAAACATGAACCGTATATTTGTTGTTTTATCTTAAAAGTCACCTGGTCGTACGCCAAAATATTTTCTCTCCCTCACAGTTACATTGTAAGGAAATGGACCTTCGTCTGACACTCCTGTTGATCTGTCTCTGCAGCCAAGGAGTCACTGTAAAGCATTAGAATTACTTATTTTCAACTCTAAAGATGATTATAATATGTGCTGATTATATAACGGTTGTATAAATTGTTGTCTTATGCTAACTTCCTTCTCAGCAGAATGCTGATGTGGCAGAAAATGACTCAATCCCTCTGGTGCCTCTTATTCCCTTGATGCCCAGCCACCCCATAGAGGTTAGAGGCAAAACAGAGTTTGAATGTAATTTGTTCTCTCATTGTGCTTGTTGCGTCATGGTGCTCTGGTCATTTCACAGTTTGGAAAAAGTGTCCTTGTAATTAACATTTTGTACAATTCCTGTCTTTAGAAAGTAGAAAATGAAACTACAGCACAACCAGGAAATGTGCATACCAGAGAAGCACCTCTACTTGCAACAGCCACAACTAGTAGGCCCAATGAGAGCCCGTCAGAAGGAGAACATGGTGAAGATTGTCCGTCAGTCGGCCGAAGCCAACAGTCAAGGGAGGCCATCGCTGCAGCCATTCAGAAACTGGGTGTGCAGCTGCTGCAGAACCTGGAGACAACGCCAGAGCAGCCAAATGTCATCATATCTCCTTTGAGCATATCGTTAGCGCTCTCCCAACTGGCTTTGGGTATGCATGTCCTGCTGCAGTATTTACATGACACGCTGGACCAAAACAGCTTGCTCTTTTCATATACGCAATTACTACATGTGGTTGAATTGTGTCAGCAACTTGCTCAAGTTTAAAGTCGTCTGGAGACTGTCGCTACCGTTCTCATCCAAATGTTGCACCCCTCTTACAGGCGCAGCAAATGAGACGGAGGAGCTGCTGATGCATCATCTCCATGAAAACACTCTCCCCTGCTACCACCAGTCTCTGCATAATGTCTTAGAGCTGCTCAGACAGAATGAACTGCAAATTGCCACACGCATCTTCCTGCGCCAAGGTTACTTCCTGGAAAAATGTTTGCACCACACCAAAAATTGAGACTGCACAGCTGCTGTTTATTATCGTTTATTATGTGCTGTAGGGTTCGAGCCAAAGCCAGACTTTGTCCGTGAATCCCAGAGGTTATATGACTCAGAACCAGCAGTATTGAAGAGCCTGCAGCAGATAAACGACTGGGTAGAGAATGCAACAAACGGAAAGATGACCGACTTCCTGTCTGCTTTACCACCAAATCTGCTCCTCATGCTCATCAATGCTGTCCATTTCAAAGGTGAAATGTCACCATATTCATGTCATTAGCTTCTTTTCTTAAAAAAACAACATGTTTATTGAGAATAGTAATTTCCCAAAATACCAGTGGAAATAACCAATGAAATCTCCCAATGTTTGTAAGTTTTCCTTTTCATAAGCTACTGTATGTTTGAATTATGCTGCTGACTTGAACTGAGACCCATGTTACCCACAGGAGAGTGGAAAGCTCAATTTGACCCGCGCTTTACCTCCAGAGGTGTGTTCTACCTTGACGACAAGCGCATGGTTGATGTTGAAGTGATGGAAGATGCCAAACACCCCTTGAGTTTATTTATTGATAATGAACTGGAGGCTCAGGTAAAATACAGTTTTAATCACCAAAATACTCTAGCCTCTTTTCACATAATTTGGTAAGAAATATAACCTCCTCACATAACCTTCATTTATTTACAACACCATTTCTTCTTCCTGTGCAGGTAGCGAGCTTCCCATTCCTGAAGTTGACGAGCTTGTTGGTGGTCATGCCTATGTCCGGCCAGGTGAACCTGTCTTCCCTTTCTGCAAAGCTGAATATCTCGGACTTGTACCGTCGTCTGCCCAAGGAGAGAGCTGTTCAAGTTAAAGTCCCAAAATTCAAACTGGAGTATGCTCAAGACCTGAAGGATGTTTTTACGAAATTGGGTAAGAGGTTGTTAGGGTCTTTGTTGTTGTATTCATTTTCACCACACATACAAATTATTATGGCTCAATGGCATTTTTTGGATTGAGCCTGTCCTCTCTGCTCTTTGTTAGGCCTCGGAGATATGTTTTCCCGTCCCAACTTGGCTGGCATGGCCGACGGCCCCCTGCTGGTCTCCAGTGTGATGCATAAGTCCATCATGGAGATAAATGAGGAGGGTGCAGAGGCTGCTGCAGCCACTGCTGTAGTTATCTCACGGGCATCGAACCCTGTTTTCCACCTCAGCCAACCTTTCTTCTTTGCCCTCATGGATGACATGACTCAAGTGCCCATTTTCATGGGTGTCATTAACAACCCAAATCCTGGGGCTCCTATTTTGGAGAGAGGAGCATTTGGAAGCAAGGATAAAGTGGGATTCCCAATTGATAAGGATCATGTTGGCTCATTTAGTGGCCCACCTAAGTAGGGAATAATACTTACACTGCTGTCCCAGGGAAAACCCAGAACAAGATCTGTCATGATTGTATAGATTAAATGTACAATGTCAATAAACTGGATCAAAATGTGTGTGTGAAAACAGATCCTTCATGTGTCTTTGTTTCATTGAAGAATAAACACACGAAAGTGCCCTGTATGCCTTGTAAAAACTAAATATTATGAACAGTTTCATACAAGAAATGGTTTACACCTATAGTAAAAACTCTCTTCATCTTTAATTGATTCAAAATTCCAAGGTATCAAAATGTAAAGTCTTTACTGTAGACTAAAGCTTTTACTGCATCATTCTGTTTGCCGTCGATTTTTTAAAGATGTTATCTAATAAAATGAATTGTTTGAATGACAACATGTCAAAGTTATGACGTGGGCTTTTATTGTCATCTTGATGCATTGCCGAAACTTCTGCAGAGGGCTATTGGCAATTTTACATACTTATGAGGCAATTTTTTATCCAACTGCCAGTGATTTGTGGTTTTAGCTTATAGAGTTATCCTTTCAAGTACTCTTGCAAGTAATTAACTGGTGTTTGGGGGTCCCACCGCACCAGTTTTCATTTTATCTCTGTGACTGAACAAGTGATTGTTTAAAGTGGGGTGCCATATTGACTGCAATATAGAGAAGGGAGTTGCAGTCACTTCAACAAGTATTGTATTGTTTTGTTCGTCTGTATCAGTTTATTGTCCACTGTATATATCTAATGTTATTCAAAAAGTAAACGAGTTTACGATGAAATAACTCATTAAGGTCAAGGAATCTATTTAAAGATGCGTTATCGTGGAAGCTAAAATCTCCCATTTTGCTCTGCCCGTGAATGCATCGTAGTAAGCCCCTGACATCACGTTATGTTTGGCGCTGACATTCACGCAACTGGTCCCCGGTCAGTTTCAATGTGTTTACCAGGGCAATAGACTAACGATGTTGCCAGACTGCAAACTGAACTGAGATCTGTAAACGGAAACGGAAACTGGAGCCGCTCATACACCGCTTCGCGCGTTTGTCCGAGCCGTTGGCGCCAACAATACAACGGACCGAGTACTGCCAGTGTTAGGAGCGTTACGTCGGCTGTCTAGCAAACATTTAGCCAAAGTTATCTTTGCAGCTAAATCACCTTCTCATAGACATGACGAGGCTCTCAGAGGGTGCGATAGAGGTAAGGTCCACCTTTACGCTCTAACTGACGTTGATGCGCTGAAATACGACTTTAAAAACTATAAACTGCCGAAGTTTAAGACTGTTTGGTGTCAAGTGTAGTCTTTGTTCACCTGAATAAACTACCTAGCAGTTAGTAGTTTGCACTCCGAGCAAACTCAGCTACTTTCTGTCATTGAACGAACGTTAGTTAGCTTAATGTAACATTAGTGTTCACGTTAACCAATTGCAGCTTAATGTTGTCAGACGCAGTAGAAATTTAACTTAAACGTGTAAGTGGCATATATATATATATATATATATATATATATATATATATATATATATAGTAAATAGTCGAGATTGGCTCTTAAATTTACCGTGTGTTCTTCCAGGCTCTATCAATTGGCAATAGTGCTAACGACGCAGTGCTTCAGTTGGTGGTGAGTACAGAAAATATCTTTCCTTAACATCACTGTTTAGCCACTTCATCACTACATTTCCTGTATTTGGAGCAGAGATTAACACCATATGCATAAATCTAACTTGTCGTGTTACATTTGCTCAACAGACATCTGTTTGAAATCAGATCTAGGAAGCAATAAGCATTACCTAAATTGGGTTTGAAGGGTGGAAAACTTTCTGAAACTGCATTTCAGACCATGACCCGCAACCTATCCCAGAGAATACTACAGTATTAGTAGTTGGCAGCTATTTAAGGCGGAGTCTCACAGGTATTTAACAACAGGAGAGACTTCAGGAAACAGATCCTAACATGAGGCAGCTCACTGTGTAAGAAGTTGTATTGACAAATGAAAGGCAAGGGACTAACACAAGCCTATATGTCCATACATTTTTGAATGCAGCCTACATCAGGCTAACCAAGATGAATGCTGTCATATGATGCAGAATGACAGGATTAGACAAACATTACAGTAACCCTTTTTAAAAATATATATTTAACCGTATCACTTGTATTTCACCTCACAGAACATTCGCAAGATTGACAGTGGAAGCGGTCCTACTCGCTTCCGGGTGATGATGAGTGATGGACTGCATACTCTGTCCTGTAAGTTTGTACTTTTTCGTTCTTTTTCTTTACATAGCATAGATGCAGAAAAGCAGATCAGGATCTAGAACAAACAATGTCATATGTAAAACATTTGTTGGGACTGGTTTATAGGATTTATTTTGTGATTTGTTTATGAACAGATATGGTTGCCAGTATTCAGACAGTGAAGCATCTTTGGTACTTGAAGGCTGGATGGTTTTTTTCTTGAACTAGACACAAAATAAATTGGCGACCGAGTTTGACTTGACTCACGAGTAGTTCTTCTCAAGAAGCCCTTACTTGAATGAACCGGGCCGCCTGTCTGATATTCTTCTCTCACTTCTCTAACCCTCTGCAGCCTTCATGCTCTCAACGCAGCTGAACTTCATGGCTGAGGATAACTTACTGGTCCCCAACTGCGTCTGCATTCTGAAGAAGCATGTGACCAACATACTGAAGGATAAACGGTATGTAGTTTTTTGTTTTTTTTGTACATTTCAATATTGCTCACAATCTGTACAGTTGTGTCAATGACGGTGAGCATAAATGTATACGATGCCGTTTTCCTTGGTTCACGGTGACGTCTTATTACAGACGGGTGGTGATCATTTTAGAAATTGAAGTCATCAAGCCTGCTGAAGAAGTGGCCGGAAGAATAGGTGACCCTACTCCTCTAGCCGAGGGTAAGCCTTCAAATCACATTTCATGATAACATCTGCTACTTTAGTAATCACATTTAGTCTCGAAGCACTGGTGAGTGAATATGTTTGTGAAGTGAGATGGATGTGTACATGTAGATTGGTCTCAATGGGTCATAAATGCAGGCCAGTACTAATGTCAGATCTTCCTCGCAGGTCTGATCAAAGGCCCGCAGTCGGCACCGGTCCCTGAAATCCGCCAACCACTGCTGCAGCAGCAAAATAGAAATGAAGGTGAGTGCAAATGTTTATTATTATCTCTTGGACATTAATTAAAATGGGTGAGAATCGTGAAAAACACTGTGCACACATAGTTCCTAAATGTCCACCAGATGGCAGCATTCCTCTGCTGCTTTCTATAATTTGGGGTGGCCCACAGATTTACATGACAGCAGTCCTCTTAAGGCCCGTTGAGAACCATTTTCATTTGAAGCTACCTCAAGCCTTTTCTCGAGGGTTTTTGACTGTCACAAGTTCTCCAGAGCTGCCCCCTTTATCACGTGAATGCTTGGTATCATGAACTTGGAACAACTATGAGCCTTGTGTAGATGAATAGTGCTCTCTGCCTGTCAATCGTAGTGTTTTTTTTGGAAGCACAGTAGAATACACAAATACCTAGTAGCACAGAGAACCTGGCGCGTGTATGTTAACCCCATGAGCAAACAGATTTATTTTTCTAATTTGTTCATGTCAGATATGAGCAGGGGGGATCACAGCATTGCAAATAACTTGAATCAGGAGAGATGTGCAATCCGGCTGTCGGGGAGGTTTTGCTGTCTTCTAGCGTGTCATATCAGGTATTCATCCCTTTAATCTGCCGTGTGGGAATTGGGGGGGGTTGTGGCGAGCACCCTCCTCATCAGCACAGTCGTTGTTCATTTCTCTGTGTGTGCCGGTTGATCTGGAGGCTTAATTACCAGAAGTGCTGTGGTTGGCAAAGTGCGAGGACTTAAGTGGACACTTTGAACTCTAATCCTCCGCGTGAGATGCACACAAATCAAATGTGCAGCGCTTGTTCGAATGGGAAAAAAAATCTCAAAGTCAGGCCACACAGCTCTCCTGGGGAAGAGCACATCCAGTTTGTTACAGCGTTTCACACTCTGCCCTGATTCTGTGAAATGTGACTCATCCTTCTCACCAAAAAATGCTGGATCACACATCTCTACCAACTTGGCGTGACGAGATGTTTGTTTCCTGTTTGAGTCGTTCCTGTTGCTCGACTCGACAGCCAGCAGTGGTGGTGTCGCTTCCAGTCGTTGGGTTCTTCTTCGACGAAACTTCCCCCATGAAGTGAGATAACTGCAGTGATCGAGCAGTTGCAATCCCAAGGAATTGGATTTTTTTTTTGTAATTCGTCTCTGATGAATAATGTATGTGCCTCTCTCTTGACTCCTCTCCATCACGGCTCCTAATTGATCATTTATTTCTCTCTTCATTCCTTCGACAGCGCACAAAAGTTTCGGTAACTTCTTTGGGAAAAAGACCCCATCTGCTATGCCCAGTACTCCGGGGGGCAGCTCTAAAGTCGTGCCCATCGCCAGCCTCAACCCCTACCAGTCCAAGTGAGTACGCCTCCCGGTCCGGGCATGTCAAAAGCTTGTATATATGAAATGTTTGGCACAGTAATAATATACATACATTTATGATAAAAACAAGTAAAAATTTTTTTTCCAAATATGTTTGTTTTAATGCAACACTATTATAAGAAATTACTATTTTTGAAACTGTTGAATATCAGCAGTCGGCATCTTGAAGTCCACCGATGCATCATGTGGTGCTGGCCTAAAAAAATGCAATATTTCTCAGGCAACATACACCGATTATTAAACGGTTGAGTTGGTGAATAAATGCATGAGATAATGAATATAAACACGCAGATGTCGGGTTACAATCTCATCCCATGAGGTGCACCACAAATGAACAACACCGACATGACTAACCTCAGACTCTTTGTCGTCCCCGTAGGTGGACCATCCGCGCCCGTGTAACCAACAAGAGCAGCATCCGAACATGGAGCAACTCTCGTGGTGATGGCAAGCTCTTCTCCATGGAGATTGTGGATGAGAGCGTGAGTGTTATTGTGGTCCCAGTGTTGATTTTTAATGCTGTGTGAATAAACCACAAGATGTCATGAGTTGGAAATCCTGGACTGTCCCTGGCAGTTAATATATTAACCAACTTTTCTGTTTTATTACAGGGAGAGATAAGAGTGACTGGTTTCAACCAAGAGGTGGACAAGTTCTTCAGCCTGGTTGAGGTTGGCAAGGTGAGACGTTCCTCCGGATAATGATTCGGCACAGACCATCCTAATTACCTGTCAAAACTGACGGATTTGGCCGCACACTGTTCTATCAACAGCTGCCAGCACTTTGTGAGTTAAAACCCACAGAGACTGAATGAGTCATCTGGCTACACTGTACCCGTACAATAAGCAGCTTATGATCATCTGCCAGCCTTTGTTGATCCACACACACACGCACACACACACACAAACACACACACACCCCGACTGCCTGAAGTCGTATCTCGTTTGCACCGTTCAGTCAGGTGAAATGCTCCCGAGTAGATCTCTGAATAACACGTGGTTCATCCATCTGTGTGGGGCCAGGTCTACTACGTCTCCAAGGGCTCGCTGAAGATCGCCAACAAGCAGTACACGTCGGTGAAGAACGACTACGAGATGACCCTCAACGGAGAGTCGTCCATCATCCCCTGTGAAGACGACTGTGATGTTCCCGTGATTCAGTGCGACTTCGTCTCTATCGGTGACCTGGAGAACCGAGAGAAAGACTCCATCGTCGGTGAGGATCTACACGTGCATTTAACCCAACATGCGTCATTAAAACCCAAGACAACTTAAACTTATCAGTTGTTTTCCCCTCATGTGCCCAGACTGTATTTTTAGTGGAAAGGAGCCTGCAGCCCTGACTACAGAAACATGGCATACTGTCAAAATGACAACATGGAGCCCTATACATAGCCCCGACATTTAGCAGAGTTCTGCTCAAACAGGATGTCTTTGTTAGGAAATGCCTACCGACATTTGAAGTGTTGGTTCAGGTTGCCGATTTCTAAGCACACTTCCTTTTATTTTTCGCTCTTGGCAATTATCACAGGTGTCTCTAGATATTTATAGAGTCAGACAGTGGATATAACAAATGAGTGAAACTGTCAGCTTTAACCCTCCGAGTACAATGTCGTAACAAAGAGAACAGCTGAATAAAACATTTAAAGGCAGCTTATGTAAGATGATAATTACATCTAGCCTACGGTCTTGACAGGTTAAAGTATATGGTGGAGGAATATAAACATATTTTTTATTTCTTTCAGTTGGAGCCCTTTTTTTTTCCTCCCATCTCCTAAACAAAGTCTTATCTCACAGTGTATACAAGCAGCTAATTAGATCCCAACGGTGAACGTACTGTGCACTAAACTACATGGAGTTCATGTAAGTGTGTTCTGTGATTCCCGGTGTGTAAGTGCACATTGTTTTCCTTTACGGAGTGCTGTGGGGCTCTTGTCGAGGCCTAAACGTATCATAAGTCTCTTTAAGCACTGGCGTGTTGCGAGAAGCAAAACCAACCAACCGGAGCGCAGAGCCCTGCTCCTGCTGAGGGGTTCCCAAGCAGCCAATAATAAGTTATCATAAGCAGAGGATAGAGTTTGTAGCTGAAAGTAGAGCCGGATGCGATGCGAGGTTGGGGTAATTACAGCATACGAGCAGAGTGGTATTAATACTACTGATGACAGTAATAGCCTGTAGTGCAGATTGACTTTGGGCCCGATGGCAGAGCCGACGAGGAAATGAGAACCTGCCGTCACAGGTAAAATGAAGTGATATTAAGGAGTCTTCTGCTTGTAATTCTTTTAATGAAAACTTCAGCTTGTACTCGCTGTTTGAGTAATTTCTCACCAGCTTACCGGTAGGCGTCGTGAGTTTTAGTCATCATGGTTAATACATCTAAAACCCTTCCAGTCAGTGCGGGTTTATAGATGAGTAATGTTGGCGATGCCACTCTTGCACATTCACAAATAAATGGCTCTGCGTTTATCACGCTTGATTACATCAGTCAATAAAGTATGCGTGATAAAGTGCATTGGTGGAAACAATTAAAGCCTGTTTCTTGGATTAGCTCCTCCATTATGGATGTAAGTGCCCGGTCCACAGGTCAGTGCACCTGATTTGAAATGAATGAATCACTTATTTGCTACGAGCCAATTTGTGCCGGAAACCATGAGACCCGAGACTGACCTGTGGGCGTAAACACGATCAATATTTATGATATGTATATTTGGAAACAATCGGGAGATATTAAACCTATATGGTCATCGCCTCTCAAGAATATCATAAGCTGTTTATGACTCAAACTTTTAACCGTAAACTGTGGACCGTTTTAGGTCGTAAATAAAGAAATGGATCCAGTGTCTGCTGCTAATGCACTGGTTTATGTCTTCTATTCCAGATGTGATCGGAGTGTGTAGGAGTGTGGACGAAGTGACCCGCCTCACCACCAAGTCAAACAGGGAAGTGTCCAAGAGGACGCTCAACTTGATGGACATGTCTGGGAAGCTGGTGACCGTCACGCTGTGGGGAGAGGAAGTGAGTGCAGACATTAGACTGGGGGAGTGGAACGCGTAATGAGGTAGAGCAAGTAGTGTCTGGAGCTTTCTCTAATGGAAGGTGAAAAATCAATACCGTACCTTATTATAATGCTTAGACATGCTTATTGTAATGGTTAAGCCTTCCCCTCATCGTCCTCTGAGAACAACCGTTTACTATAAAGGACTGAAGCCGAACCGAAGCCAGATCTCACATGCACAGGGTGAACACAAAGGACCAGAGTACCGGCAGTATAAAAAGCAGTCGCCTTTTGTGAAGCTCATAATGTTCAGTCTTTGGTGAGACCGTGTCAGCAAGAAATATTTCCTGATTGCTGTTCAGCGGTTTCAGAGCCAAAGAAATGTAATAATGTGTGCGGTGTTTAATGTGGTTGTCATGGGGTGATAAAGTAACTGTGCCAGTGCGGTTGACTTTTACCTGTGGCTCAGAGGGCCTGTGTCGAGTTGGCCACCGTTTTCTTTCCTCCTGACAAGAAGCGCAGCGTTCCCCGTTTGTTTGTCCGACACAGATCCCTTTTCCACGGGGACCTGCTGCGGGTACACAAGATGTATAGTTTATGAAGAACAATGGCAATGCCAAGAAGCAAGTGTTGGAGATATTTCTCCCCGTCACTGAAGGCTGCACTGTTGCCCCCCCCCCCTCCTCCCCCCTCTTTTATCGTGTTTTTATTTGTTGGGGGCCTCCGGTTTTAACAGTAAAGAATAAAGTCATTTTAGAAATGTGTTCATAGTTCATAGCGGCGAGGTCTGTCTCTTGGTCGGTCCATCTCTTTGGTTCAGACTGAAATCTCTTAATACCTATTCGATGGATTGAGATTCATGGTCCCCAGATGATGAACCCTAACGACTTTGGCTGCCCCCTAGACCTTTCCTCTAGCTCAATGAAATCTCTTTATATGGCGATCCTATATGAGGGATCTCCATGAAAACATTGGACCTGCTAATCATCATCCGTTAACATTGCCATTATGAGCCGCTTTCCAGAAAATGGCTTTATCTGGAAGACAATGGTAAAAACAGGAATTATGAATCCCGGGCTGAAAGCCTAAAATAATAAACTGCATGATGTTATGCTGTAATGGCTGTGATATCAAACATGTTTAATGGGGACATTTCTGTCCTTAAGGGTCTGAATGTCTGTATTATGGATATTATATTATTATTTATTATAATTTTTTTTATTGAAGCTGATGTTCAACATCCAAAATTCAGGAAAAACCCTTCACACTCTTGCCAAAATGTTTGCCATATGCATGAACATAGCCCAAAAATGTTCGTTTTGATGCAGAAGGGTTTTAACAGTCTTGTACAAAATAGCAACAAATAGCAATCCAGACAAATAATAAGTAACAACAAAGATTTAATGAGTGTTTCCACATCTCTCGTTTGGCGTAGGCAGAGAAGTTCGACGGCTCTACACAGCCCATTGTAGCCATAAAGGGGGCGAAGGTTTCGGACTTCGGTGGCCGGTCCCTCTCTGCATCCTTCAGCAGCAGCATGATGATCAACCCAGACATCCCCGAGGCGTATAAGCTAAGAGGCTGGTAAGTGAGCTTGAAATTCATAGATAATGCAGTGCGGAAAACTGTACCGGTGACAAAGTGCTTTCATTGCAGGTATGAAACATGATATATATTAAACGCCAGAGGGCTTTCTCTCATTTATTTCACCCGCTGCAAGATAAACTTACGGTATGCAAGTATTGCTGTCGAAATTGGAGAACTCGGAAGGATTTAAATGGTTGCAAGAGTGCATGCTTTGATTCTCATCATCAAGATTAGTTTCCCCCTATTAGCCACTGTGTGTGTGTGGGGGGGGGGGACATTATGTATAAATGGAAAACATACTTAATCTGTAGAAATGTGTTTTTATTCTCCTAATCGCCTTCGTAGATTAAATGAAATCGGACTAATTTCTGTGTGAATATGATGATTGTAGCATTTATTTTGTGTGTGTGTGTGTACCCGTGTTCTTTCATGTTGGTTTTTATCTTTTTGTCAAGATATCTATCTTTGCCCTTAAAGTCAGAGTAGTTATCTTTGTACATGGAGACATGTCTATTGCACTCTAGTTGATTTCTATTAGAAGTACCACAGCCAAATGCAGAGTTAAAGGATTGTACACTAACACAAGTAAGGTATGCGACTCTTACCTTTTGAAGATTTTCGGCTGTTCTTGCAATGGAAAAGAGAAATATTTTAAGACCAAAGCTTTCGTCTTTAATTTGGGTTCCTGTGTCACTTCCTCGATTCCTTATTTTCTAAATGATCCCCGCTCCAAAACATAATCATGCACTGTATGCATGCGTTTTCTCTATTTTCAAACAAAGACATCACCTAGTCGTAGTCGGTGTGTTGTGACACCTTGTTAGGTGGCTGTATGAAGGTGTACAGGTTGGCACATGATTGACACTGAGGCAGCACCGTTGCACCGCGGCGGGGGTTGAATCTCGCTCCAGCGCGGTGACAGCTGATCCGTCACCTCCGCTCCGTATTCCTGAGCCGGAGATCTGATTGATTCCATCCAAAGAGTTTCATTTATTTACCTCCCAATAACAGTGGCCTACTCTGCACTGAGGAATACAAATAATAAATAAAAACAAAAAACGTTCAAATTTAATTTGTGACAAGTCGAGTGCGGCCTTTTCCTGCCTTGACAAATGTGTCTGAGAGTATTTCTCCATTATCAGAGGAGCCGATCTGCATCATCAGAGCGGTGGACTGTGACTCTACGTTGCAGGAGAGAAAGAGGCAAATCACAAAATATGCTCAGACGTACTCCTTTAATCAGACGTCTTGGCTCAGTAGTTTCTTGATGATGATATTACCACCAGCCTCTGGCTTCTCTGAACATTTACTTTTTATATTTCATTTCTTAGAATGCCAAGCACTGTGAACTGCTTAGTTATTTTTTATATATGATGGGATTATACTGCAAGTCATTATATTTGCATTGTGATAGAAAGTGCTCTGTTATCAGAACCACTCCCGGGTCTTCTGCTTGTTGAGCACTATTAAGTCCTGAATCACTCTATCGCTGGAAAGCTGAGACTCTTTTGTCGCCAGCGAGCCCAATTCATGTGTGATGACGTTTGGTCCCCGTAGTAGCCTTTTCACATTGATGTCACTGTGTAACGTGACCTCTAGGATAATAATAAGCCTCATGAGACTTTACACCTACAAACTAGAGACCTAGAGGGCATTCAGAGGATCTATGGCTTTCCTAGCTATAGTGACAATAAGGGGGTTTCTGAGCAGTTTCCAGAACAGAAGGGATCGCCATTGAATCGCTGCAATATGCTGTTGCTCAATGTCTTGGTGTCTTAATGTTGTGTTTTTATATATTCTTAAGTGGTCGCACCAAATCTATGTATGAAACCCAAACTAGCTGCAGCAACGTATGAAACCTAAGTGAGCATGGGAATGGCCGTCATATACTTCCATCCCAATGTTCTAAGCCCTTTTTAGTCTTTCACAACTTATTTAAATTAAATCCATTTTTATTTCTGATGTATATTTAGAACTTGGATTAGCTAGACTCTTCTGTTGCTTTGTCCACTGCAGAGGAGGAATCGCCCCCTGTGGGTTCTCTTTGGTCAACGTGTTCCTGCAGGTTTTTTTCCCCAGCATCCACAGTTTAAACGTCACAGACGGAGGGAGGCCAGACCTCACTCACAACATCGCTGCACTGCATGTCTGAGAGCTGTGTCTCAGCCTGCCTCATGCTGTTAAATACATGCTGTGTGTTTTGTTGTCTGGTTCTCAGGGTGGTTGGTAGCTGTCCACAAGTGTGTCCCTTACTGACTGACTGTCTGAATTATGGTTAACAGAACATGGGAGCAAATCAATTAAACCCTAAATCAAGCTTGTGGCGATATTTTTTCATTTTGCACAGAAGAACCCAAAGCTTGTTCTCCCACAGCACAACAAAGATGTGCCTTTACAGTACAGCCAAGGCTGCCGAAACATTGTTTCACTCGTGCAGAGGCGTCTTAATTTGATTCTGTTTTGCCGCAGACCTTCGGGACTTCCTCAAATGAATAGTCTCTCCTTGGTGGGCCATTGTCTCCAACTCATACTGCAGAGTATTAGTCGCTCCACTCAGCACTTTCCACTGTGCTTATAAGTAAGAATGCTGCACTCGGCACTAATCGTCTTGATCATTTGTCTTTTTCGGGAGTTCTTGACACAGGTTGCCAACTTGACAGTAAACCTACACTAAGTTCCTCTTTGTGAACTTTATCAGGGTAAAAAATCTGACTTCACATTGGTGCATCTGAGTGTGAAGATGCGATTGTCCATTAGGGGGCAACAGCTCATCTAGAGATGGCCGTGCTGCCTTCTCCCAGACCGTCGCTTCTCCGGTAACGACACTTTCTTCTCAACGGAAGACATTCAACACACACTCATTTAGTCACACGAGTCCAAGCTGACCGGTTCTCTGTCTTCCTTATCATGACTCCAGTGTTTCCACATGTCGAGGCCACAGCACGTGGCTGTGACACTAATCATGTCGGCCCAGAAGCCAACAAGCTCTAACACGGAAGTCTAATGAGTATGATGCCTCCGTATTTAATTGACTGTTATTTTACCCACGTTTCCCTTTGCTGTGTTGATTAAAAAAACAAGTGGCAGATGTACGAGCTGAATGGCTGCTGTTGAGTTATTAGCTGAACTGAATTAGTAACTGACTTCCTGAATGTTTCAAAGCAAATTGGGTAAGTGTCTGACAAAGTGAACCACAGTACCAAACCCCCGGATGCTTTACTGCAGCATTGAATTAGCACTAAGTGGCATTTTGTTTTGTTGGATTATTAAGTGTCTCGGTGGTGAGGATTTGTTGCTTAACTTCGACATGTATGATATTAAACTAAATATCTTCTAGTTTTAGACTATTGGTTGGACTAAAAAAGCACTTTGAATACTTTAGGTTGGGTTTCCATTAACTATTAAATTAATCTGCAACTATATTGACAATCGTTTAATCAGTTAAGACAAATTTCAAGAATTAAAAAGTTCAAAATTCTATGATTCTTGCGCCTTAAAGGTGAATATTTTCTGGTTTCTTTACTCCTATATGACATTAAACTGATCGTCTTTAAGTTGTGAACAAGACATTTGAGAACACTGATCAACATCGTTCACCGTTTTCTGACTTTTTATACAACAAACAACTCATTGATTAACGAAGAACATAATCAATCAACAATGAAAACGATTATTTGCAGCTGAAAAAGTTCTGAAAAAGCATAATGGAATTTCTTTTAAACCATCTTTAGACTTTTTATTTTAAAGACCAATACTATTTATTCATCGATAAAATCTGATTTATTTTTGCTACATATACCAGCCGTACATAGAATTACACTTTCAGTGCTTTAATAAGTCACAAATACTCTCATGGAAGCTTCATTTGATGTTTAATTTACAGAAGGTTTACAAAGATGTCAGAGATATTAATAACTTATGATGTCCAATATGATGTATTCATACATTTATTTATCTATTAATTTAAAACGCGGGATGTTCAGCTTGGCTTACTGCACTATTTACATCCCGTTGTACCAATAGAAGTACTGTAGCACAGCAATAACTTTCTGCTCTGTCTATAGAGCTCTGTATATCACCTCATTCAAATTCAATGTTTGTGACACAGTGGTGAGAATCTCCTGATTAATGCAGAACTGTCCCAGGGTGTGTCAATGTTAGCTGGCTGTAAGAGGCTAACACGTCACACACACAACACGGAGTGCTGGTGTTAGCCAATCGCTGCCCAGGCATGGGGGTCCTTGCCACACGGCTGACTGACACTTTCACCATGTCATCCCCTCGTGCCTCTTCCTCTGACACGTCTCGTCTTCTTCATCCCGTCCTTGTTCATTGGCACGCTGACATTTGACATGTCTACGGCATGTCTGCCAAGCCTCCAGTCATCTATCTTGGTGTTTCTGCAGATAGTTTGTCTCACTGACGCCACGCTGCTCTCAGCTGGGATCTGCCTGCTTCCAGTTGACTGTTGCACATCTTCAGCCAAGTCTGACATGTCCTCGTTTTGTTTCCTTCATTTCGATCGCTGTCTGCGCTGTCATTTCTGATTCCTGTGCTCCTCGGTCTCTATGATTTAACAAAACATAGAGACAGTGCAGCAGATTTAAATGAAGTGAAGCCTTACTAGTCTGCACTCTTACCTTATTTAAAGTGCAATGCATTTTTAATCAGCTCTGCTATGTTGCCACTACACTTCTCTCCCCCTGTAGAACATCGGTCTCTGGAGAGCAGCCACGACAGAAAACGCTTTCTCCATTTTGTCCGTTTTTGATGTGTCGGAACATCTTCTTGCATGTTCCTGGCTGGCTGCAGTGCAGGTACACCCGAGAGGGATGTGGTGCCACCGCAAAGAATTGCTCACATTTGTCAATGTGGGGAAATTGGCAGCCTGTGTGCGTCGCTCTGGCCACACACACGTTAATGGGGATATTTTCAATTAGTCATGCCTCCAGGAGCAAAGCATGCTCTCGCTGTATTTACAACCCGACCTCCCCCACTGTGCGCCACTCTGCCTCATGGCCTTCTGCTTCCTTTTGTCTTCACTGACTGAATTAAATAGTACCATCATGAGTATAAACATGGAATTAATTCATATTACTCTGCTAAATAAGTTATTTCAGGTGATTGACACAAAACAATAAATTGCTCCTCAGTAAACATATTTAATTAAAAAACAAAAGGAATGTTGACAGAGAGGAGCATTTCTATTTATGCGGGAGAGTCAATACACTGTCTACAGTGTGATATTTACATGTACATTTATACTGTATCTGGAACATTGGGCGTGAATGGGTTTCTGATATCACTGTAACCGCCCTGACCCTGGCCAGCTCATCTGTCCCTCTGCTGTTGATTAATTTCAAGCCTCTCATCCTGCCCGGCTCTCCGCTCAGCCATCCTTGCTTTGACAAACACAAGTGGATGCTCTGCCTGGAACATTTTTTATTTTACTTTTTTAAAGTGAACTGTTAAATGGACAGCCTGTAGTCTATTGACAGCCATGTGAACAGCAGACTGTTGTCTCCTGCTTTGCTTTGGATGTATTCAAATGAATAAAGCAGCAGTCTGAAGTAGGCCTCAATGTGCCAGCATTATGCATCTCCGATGTGGAAATACAGCTTTCTTGAATTTATTTTTAACGAGGTAAATATGAGGTACTGCTGTGCACAGCTGAAGCCATAGCTTTATTTCTGGATTAGTCTTTTGACAAAATGTATCGGCAGCTATTGTGACGAGTCTTTAAGGCTTTTTTTTTTAAGCAAAAAGGCAAAATATTCCGTTTCTGAACCATGAATATTTTGTTTTGTCCTCAATCACATTAAAGTAAAATCTTGGCTTTGGACCATCTGTCAGATAAAATAAACCGGATTATGCCAGCTTGGGTTTGTGCAAAATTGTGATGTGATTAATTTTTTTTTGTTTTCAACATTTTATGGAACAAACAATCAAGGGAGTAATCATGAGTTGCAGTCCTGCAGCTACACGTGACCGGGTAGAGATCAGCAGTGACCGGTATCGGTTCTCTTAACAGGTATGACAAGGAGGGCCACGCCATGGACGGACAGTCTGTGACGGAGGCGAAAGGTGGTGGGGGAGGACTCACCAACTGGAAGACTCTGTCTGACGTGAAGACGGAGCACCTGGGACATGGAGACAAGGTACACACGTGCACGGCTTTGCCTTGAGGCGCTCCGACATTCAAAGCAGCGGTAACCCCAGACGTATTGTTATTCAAGGATGAGCCTTTGAAGATATTCAAGGACAAACTGAAAGCCTGCCGCTGAATCCCAAACAATACATATGAAGGTGCTCCCAGCCAATCTGCATGTATTAAGAACTCAGTGTATGTCAGTGCAGTACCTACCCAATAAACGAAGGACCGAATAGTCGAATATTTGGGTTTAATGTGACCGTGTCACTCGTATCTCTGCAAAAGGTAAAAATCCTAAGAAATAATAAAATCCCCTGCATCACCAGGTATGTGTGCTTAAGATTCTGATTATACCTCCTTTATTATGTATTGTTATGGTGAAAGTCGCATTCATCCCTGGTATTGATTACACAGGTTCTATTCTTTGCCCTCTGAGATGCAATTACTGCCCTCCGATGAGTAAAGTAATGCCTTCTCTAATTTCCCCCTTTTTTCATTTCCACCTTCGAGGGAAGTGGTGTGTAAGAAGTGTATAAGTTGTCTCGAGCGGATGATGTGACCTGCGCAGAGATCTTAACTTGTGTCATTTAACATGATCTGCACATTAATAATCTTCACAGTATGATGAAAGTATCCCATTAAGACTATGGGGCCATTATTAGATGGAAGCAATTATGATAAGGCACCGAGAGACACGAGAACAATTTTGCTCCATTGTCTTTTTGGAAGCTCAGAGGATTTAAGGGCCCATAACTCCTGAGAAAACAAAGAGAAATGGATTCAACCAGAGTAGCAGTTATCTTTACGTCCACAGTAAGTGTAAGATGTGTTTTGGTAAATATTTCAAACTCTGCGTGCTTGTCTGCTGCCCGAGGCTGTGTCCTACACGGGTTGCCATCATAATTCTTTCTGATTATAGCCACAGCTGCGGGATTCACCAGTAACGGATCGTAGGCGTATTGCTTCCTCATCATTCTTCTTTTTAGTGTCGCCACTTCAGCTATTCTATCGTCTACAACCCTACAATGCAGCTCAAGCAGCACCCATCTATTTTGTCCTCTTGAATTCCAACCCCCCCCCCCCCCCCCCCCCCCCCCCCCCCCCCCACCCCCCC